TGTGTTTTTTTTTTGTTTGGAATTGAACATAGTAACACTAAAAAGCAAACTCCAGGTTGCAATTCTCTTAATCCTACCAATAGATTGGGTAGAGTACAAATCCTCTAAGTTCTAGAGCAAGGCTAAGGCTAAGGATTTTAACTGGTTTGAAATTATGAACTTCTTTGGGACTCTGTTAAAAGCTATGGTCCTTTCTTCCCCCAAATGAATTCTACATATATAAACAATTTTGCATTCCCATTGGACATCTCTGGATGAATACTCAAGAAACTGCAGTGATTGCCTCAAGAGAGGGGAACTGGAAGGCAAGTGTGAGAGGAAGGAATTATTTTTCTCTATATTTATTTTAAATATCGTTTTTGAAGTTTATAATCAGATATTTATCTTCCCTATATAGTATATGAAAATTTTTAAGTCACAATGTCAAAATTTATAAATAAAATTTTGAGTCCTGGGTTTCCTAGCCCTTGCAATTTAAAAAATTTAGTGGCTTTTAATTAGATATGCATTTAGTCAATTTTTTTTTAGTGGTACTAGGAATTAAACCTAGGGCTTCATAACTGCTCTGTTACTGACCTGCATCCCCAGCCCTGTCTTCACCCCCAGCCCTGTTTTTTTTTAAAAATATTTTTTAGTTGTAGGTGGACATAATATCTTTATTTTTTATTTTTATGTGGTGCTGAGGATTGAACCCAGTACCTTATGCATGCTAGGCAAGTATTCTACCTCTGATCCACAACTCCAGCCCAACCCTGTCTTTTTAATTTTTTATTTTGAGGCAGGATCTCACTAAGTTGTGCAGGCTGTCTTGAATTTATAATCCTCCTCCTCAGCCTCCTGAATAGCTGGGATTACATAATGATCAGTCTACATCTAGTAAATTATTATGGATTACAAAAAGTAGAAATGTAATTGATAGTTTCAGTGATCTGTTAATGCAATTATATTCTATAAAAATATTACTGATTTCTTAGTGATCTAGTGATCCATTCAAGTTTAGTCTAACTTCACTTAGACTTTATTTGGTAGGAATTAAGTTTAAAAATTAGCTTGTGGATTTTTTTTTTTTTTTGTCTTAGAGGTAGACCATGAAGATAGTTTGCCCAAGTAAGTTATTTATTGTGAAGAAGTGCATTACATTTCAATTCACATAATATCTGCTCGATTCCTTTTGGAAGGCCTGTGGGAATGTGTGGTGGTGGTGGGACTTTCCTGTAAGAAAAATCACCCCATGTAGAACCAATAAATTAAAGATCTTAGAATTTAGTCGAGCATTTCTTAACACTGGAGGTTCTAATTTAGTAGGTCTCCGAGTGGACCCAAGAATCGGTGTTTCTGACAACTTCTTTGATTCTGATTTAGGAACCAGTGATTTTGTACATGCTATTATGCTTTCTTTATTGGTTATAAAAACTAGTCATGGGGATTCATACTGTTGCTTTAGTTGCATCCGAGTGAATGTAAGCCCTATTTGCCTTTTGAGGAGCTTGGAAAAGAAGAAAGTACAAAAACCAAAGGGATGACAAGACCATCCCTTTGCACTATGCCTTTGACAGGTATTTCTGATTGTGCTGGGCTCACGGAGATTACAGATCAGAGGTATTTGATGCCTAAATTGGCTCAAAGTCTTAAAGCTTATGATAAAGCCTCAAGAATGAATATGGGCTGCTTTAGAAATGAAGTTCTACTCTAATCAGGGGAGATTGAAAAGCAGAATTAGGTTAAAAGTATTTGTTGAGGGCTTGGGATATAGCTCAGTTGGTAGAGTACTTGCCTAGCACGTGTGAAGCATTGGGTTCAATCTTCAGCACCACATAAAAATGAAATAAAGGAATTGTGTCCATCTACTATTAAAAAAATTTTAAAAAATTAGTGTTTGTTGAGGTTATAAATTAGTGATCAGTAATTATTTTTCAAAAAATGTTTTGGGATGATTCAATCTTTAGCATTTACATTTATCTGTTTCAATAAAACAATGTTTTTATTTTAAAAAATAAAAAAGGAAAGGATGTTTGGAAACATATGGCCTAGAAAACTTAAAGGTCATCTAGGCCAACCACCTCTCCCAGGGCTTGCCTTAGAGAAACCTTGAGGTTTAGATCATGAGGCATAAATAATTTCCTGTTGCCCCCTTTAATAACTATATGTAATAATAATACAGGCAGAATACCTAGGAGGAAATAATTGTTTTGTGGGTACTAAAGCTTCAAACCTTAAAGTCTTGCTAGAAAATCAACCCCTCTAGCCCTCAAGAGAAAAAAACAAACAAAAAACCATGCCAAAGCAAAATCCATGATCCTGAAAACCCAAACAACTCACTATACTTAAGTGTGGTATTTAAAATAGCAAAAGGGAGTAAAGCCCATCTCTGTGATGTCGAGTTCTATTTTGGTATATAATAATTTTAAGTCCCTCAAAGTTAAATATTAAACAGACCCTTAGCTAGATGTGTTGCCAGGCATCTGTATGGAATATTACCGTGTAATCAGGGTGCATTGTACTTCTCTATACAAAGAGAACCAAAGCTACTGCTTCTAAAGCTTAGGAAACTTTCATTAGACTGACAGAAGACAGTACAGAGGAAATGGCTTGGGGGTGGAGGAGAGAGGATGAAAGGAACAGTATTCATGCTATCCAAATTAGAGTCAGGATGTTTATGCTCAAATCTTGTCTTGGCTTTGTGTTGCGGGTACTGAATATTGGGGACATGGGAAAGTGTATCTCTGAAGTTCCTAAATTAGGCATTAAATATACTAAATTCCTCCTCCAAGTGCTTCATATTTTCAATAGTCTGTGTATATTTCTGCATATATATTGTGATTAAAGTCCACAGCTGGCTAATGCTAATTATCTCTCTTGCTTTTTTGTTGCTAGTATCTTCCCTATAGCTATTATTTTTTCATTCTGTTGTTTACAAGTTACATGCTTCTACAGGATTGTAACTTAAATGGAGAGTGTTTTTATTTATTTTTCTAACTACTTTTTTTTTT